CCCCCCCCCCCACGTATTAACAGGAGGACTGCTACGGAGAAGACCGTTTCAACGGTTGGACTCCTATGAAGGAAGAAGGCAAGGACGCCAACGGTATCGACTTGCCCGGGTTGGACGACGGCGTGTGGAGACGCCCCTTCCGTTCCGAGTCGGTCATCTACGGCCGCCTCAGGGGGGAGTTGGATCCCAAGTAGGCAGTGACGTCGGTCTGATGGGATCGATAGGTTGGTCGGGGTGGTAATGGTGGTGGCGTAGTTGGATCTTGAGCAGTAGTGACAGATGGGTGATGGTGGTTCGATAGCTAGCTTGGTCCTGCCGCGTCCTGCCGCGGTTGTTTGTAGCGGTGACGGGGGTGGGGCGAGGCGGCGTCTTGTAGTGGACCCGATTTTTATGCCGCCGCGAAGTTGGCTGGATGCGTCCTTGGATCGACGGGTTGGCAGCAGTGCCTGTGGTGCTGAGGAAGAACTTGTCTGGGGCATGGCATGGCATGGCATACAGCGTAGCATGTTGTGTCATTCCATTCTTTCGGAAGAAACGCGGTTTCTGTTTTTTGGTGAGAAAAATGCGTGCATGTCAAACGCCATGCTTCTTTTCGGGAGAAACACGTTTCTTTTTGGAGAGGGTAAAGCGCATTTCCGCAACAGCAGGTGGTAGTGCCCTCCTTTTGCCGTTGTAACGGCTTTGTCTTGCATTTCGTCGGTGCTTTCTTTGCTATGTATTGTAATATCTGTGTTTCGGCGGGTTTTTTTTTTCCAGCATGGGTGGGTCTTGACTGGTGCGAGCTATTGATCTGTGTCGGTTAGGTTTCGTGGTCCACAAGCGAGTTTTGGACTCCCATGTCGGAATATTCTGTTGTCTCTAACAGGCTGGTCGCTATTTTCACATTCATGACTGCCTTTGGATGGTAAGTCCTTTCGTTGGGATATGTATTATGTGGGGGGAAGGGAGCCGCAGCCCCGTTGTATGTTCGTTCACGTACCCTTTTCATTTGGCCCCTCACATATATAAGGGCCTTGAGTTCATGGTGATGACTGAGTGTGGTGTATTGGGTAGGCACCCCCTGCTTGCCGTTCTCTTGCATGTAACGTTGGAAGGGCCTCAGTGGCTCTTGCCGGGGTGGGGAGGCTCTGAGGTACCGCCACGACACACGCCCCAGCCCGGCTTTCAAAGCTCGATTCATCAACAGCAGAGACATTTGGCGGTGCCGAAAAATGGCGGCTTTGAAGCCTTCTGGCCGAGAGCTCTCCGAAAAAGTATCGTTTCGTTTGTGCATCCTCTTGGTTCGTGGTGTAATCGAGCTTTGAAAAATGGGTCCAGGGGGGTGTGTTATCTTGTGTAATACACGGGGGAGGTCTGTCTGTCCCCTGTTCTGGCTTGTTCGCTTTGGGCAATGTTGACGCGCTGCCAGGTGTTCATGTCCGGTGTTGAGTGTGCTGCCACATGTTACGTGTTCGTTCCTCCCGTCGGCACGGCGGTGTTTGTGGTTCTCGTTGGAAGGAGGAACTGTCGCACCCCCAGCCCCCCCTCCCTCCGTATCCTTTTTTCCGACCCAGTTTGGTGGGAGCTTGTTGACTGCCCTTGTATTGGCGGAAGCTCATTCTCGTAGAACAGAGGGCAGGTTTCATGCATGCCACGGCGGACAGGTTGAGAGTTTTGGAGAGAGAGAGGTGGTTTGAGTGCGCTTTTTCTTGCTTTTGGATGAACCCTATGAATGAAGTGTTCATTTTAACCCTTGGGGGGGGGGTGGGGGGGAAGGTTTGCTGTGTCTTGTCCGCTACAGCGCTCCCCCGCAAAGTACGTTCCGAAATGATGTCCCCAGTCAGAATACTGCAAGCATACATGTGATAACCGATTTTCCCTCATGCATCGTCACCAGGCATTGGTCTTTTATGTTTCTGTGAATCGGTGCGCTCCTCGAGTGAGACAGCAAGGACCACCACTCACTTAACAACGTAATTATTTCAACCCGAAATTAGTTGGTGAAGTGAAAGTGTCGGCTACCCTCGTCAACGTCACCGGGGATGGCTTTTTCTTAGGACGTCCTAGTCGGCCGCAGCCAGTTGGCTTGTGGCCACGGAAGGCGTCCGCGTCAGTTGGACCAGTACGGACATGAGAAGGTACTGAGTGGAGACCGGAACGGGTTTTTTAATGTGAAGATAATAGCAACAACAACAACAACAAGCCCGTCCGACCCACGAGTGTCAGGGGAGGCCCCGAAATACCGCGGTCCCAGAACACCATGGTAAAACCGCTTGTCACAGACTTGGCTACAAACCTAGAAGTACAATAAAAGTTCCGATTCTCCAACGCTCACAACAGTGCGGTGTCCCGGCATGATTTTTTCGTATCACTACAAGTCCCTACACCTCGCGGTGCAGTACATCGGGACCACTACTTGCCACTAAAACCAAAGCAGAGAGAAATAGAAATTCCCTGCCAAAACTTCCTTCTCGGGCGGCACGTTGTGGAAACCAGCAACACACGCACCGTTTCGCCGCTCCCCCCCACGACCCCCCCCCCTCGGTGTTTGCCTTCGGGTTGGGTTTTCGTCGCTTGGCAAAGACGTTGTAGAACAAGCCAATTCACTTCGTGAACTCGGCAACCAGGTTACCGGTGTTTTTGTTAACCTCTGCTTTTGTTTTGGCGGTAACCATAATGGTGGTCGAGTAGATCATGTTGAAAGGGGTGGAGAACCCTCGCTCCGCGCACGGGGGATGATCGCACCACGTTGTGTTAAAATGGTCAAGCACCCTCGAGGCAGTTACACAGTGCTTACAACTGTCTCTGGAAGTGAAAGCACCAGAAAATAAATTAATTCATACGCAGCTGTCATCCGTACGCAAGGAAGTAAGCACAAGATGCCGAA